CTGACTTGGTAGCTGGGAAAATGGTTCATAGGAAAACTCCATGATCCCAAAAGGAGCTTGGGCTGAGTGCCTTCCTGGTGTCTGCTGGTTGGAGGAGGCATCGTAACAAGAGTGAAAGCTGGCAGTGAAGAGGAAGGCTGGGTCGTGACCCGTCTTGGGAAGGGAATGAACTAAGTGCCAGAGTCGAAGTCACACTTCTCACTACAGGGCAGTGTGAGAGGGAGGCTCCTTGGTTTAAATGTGGACAATGGAGAGAAAAACAGAAGAGAAAAACAAGTGATCTGGGACTGTTTGTGAAACTAGATAAAAAAACAGGTCATCTGAGATCACTCTCAACCACTACATTAGGAAGCTAGAGAAACATATTCAGTACAGACATTTGTGTCCCTCTGGTCACAGTGGACACTTTAACTAGCATTTGTGGCTAAACTTAAGTCATGGGACTCAAAAGGGGCTGTGGAAACATCCGCATGTATTCAACAGACCAAACCAGACAATTGGAGAATAATTATCCAGACTGAGTCACAAAACACTGAGGAAAACCTCACACTAGCAATGGTACCTCCACCCTATCAGTTACACAGTGAGTCCGCCCCAAAGACAGATCCATGCAGAAAACCAGCAGATGCTACAGAGGGAGGATTAGGGCCATCAGCTGTAAGCCAAGTGGGTCACGAGATGAGTCTCAAAAGGCAAGTGGGAAATTGTTTGTCATAAAAAAAAAAAAAAAAAAATCAACACTAGTACCAAAGAAAATGAAATACGAATGCAGAGAAATCTTCCGGTTCCACAGACTGCAGCTCATTTGGAGTAATACACAGCCAAAGTAAGTATTAAAAAACCCAAAATGGAACAGGAGCGGCATTTCTCTAAAAGCAAACTTGGCTGGCATTTAAAGTGAGAATTCCAATTCCGATTGGTGGAGGAAGAACTCACATCATAAATCTGGGTGAATATGTGTTTTATTGTCATAAAGTAATTAAACTACTGAGCAGGCTGTCTCCCTAAATTGAGACGTGTATTTTGTCTCGGGAAATGTCAGGAGAGACAGGATTTACCGTGCTGTTAAAAGTGAAAGAATGCATTATTGTGGAAGTGAGGGGTAGGAGGAGGCAGGCAGTGAGGATTTCACACTCTGGGTCCAATGCATGGCTCCAGGGCAAACTAGTTACTGATCTACCTCTAAGAATGTTCTCCATCCTCACTCTGACCCTCCACGTAAAGCAGCGTTCACTTCCGGAAGTACGGTTCCCCATTAATTCCTCTTCCCATTCAAGACTGCTAATGTGAAGCCCTCTCTCCAAGAACTTGAAACATGACTTCTGTGAGTTTTGCATGTATTTTGCCACGTATTTTCCTCATTTTCATCAGTTTGGCTCTGAATGTCCCCTTCAGTAAAGCAGCCAAAGAGAAGAAACACAAAATTCTAAATACTACCTCCCTCAGTCTTTTTTTGTGTGGGGGATTTTTTCCCCCTAATCTGGTAGACAGGGAAGAACAGTCAGAGTCCCAACCTCAGAATTCTGGGTTTTCCCATGTAAACATTACAGATACTTGAACCTTGCTTCCGGGACTCAGAAGTTTGACCCCTAAGAAACATTTCCCTCTGGCGGCACCTCCTAAAATTCCATGTTGTTATTTCATGCAATGGAATTAAAAAGAAAAAAAAAATCTGCATTTTGTTTAGAAGCCAATGATCCAGAAGGTATGGATTATTTAAAGATTCTTTTCAATTTCTCTCGTTTTATCAAGTCTTTTGGCAAGAAAAGAAGGGGCATCCAAATAAATTTCTTTGTAATTTAAGATACGATGAAAAGGATGATGGGTAAGAGATTGAAACCCAAGGAACATGATTTAGAATAATCACGTCTCTTAAAAATATACACGGACACAGACACACTCTTGTATGACAGCAGATTAAACTGACATGGACACACCCTGCTTCCACTATTAAACTGAGAAAATAGAATAAAATTTGTGTTTTAATAGAGCCAAGCTTTAAAGAAAGAACAAGAAATGTCCAGGTGACACAAGAACTCAAAATCTGGAACATAAACCTTAAGGGCTGGTAGCTGGGGATAGGAAACGGCTTTGGGTCCTTGCAAGAGTGAACTTAGAAGTAAGACTGTTGAACAAAGCACAGAACCTGACATAGCTCCCTGCAGGCTCACTCTACCAGAATGCTGCCTGCCAGCCAGAGCAAAGACAAATGCCGGCGGCGCTTTTCAGACAGGAGCAGGAAGCTACTTGAGAAAAACCACCACCATGCAGTGGATTTGTATTACCACGAGGCAAGAAAGTGACCCAGAAACGGTCCTGGGACTCTGGCACAGGAAACTCCCAAATTCCTCTGTAGCCATACCATCAAAATCCGGGGATACGGATCACACACAAAATAGCCCTTGCTAGAGATGGGCTCACAATCCTAAAAACTACATGAGGACGCACACTACCATTAGGAGGGTCAACAGACACAGCTAACAGAAAAACAGCCAAAAGGCAAGAAAATAGAATTGAGACTATAAAATAAATACAGTTAAAACGATTCACAAAAATAAAAACTATAATTGAAATTACGAAAAAAGAGACAAATTTGAGAATCATCAAAGACAACTTCAGAAGCAAAAAATAAAGTCCAAAAAGCTCAATGGCTGCAATAAACCAATGAGACAGGGCTGAGAACAGAATAAGTGAGATAAATTACAAAAGGGTTAGCTGAGAATATAGTGTGGAGAAATCTAAAATATATGAAACAGGACAGGTTCAACATAGGTATAAAAGAAACCCCAGAAGGAAAGAACAGAGAGTGGGGATGAGATAATACTCAACAAAATTAGAACATCCAAAATTTTCCTAATGAAGAACAGGGACCTGAACAAGAGGAACAAAAATAAATCTGTATCCAGGCATGGTGGCACACGCCTATAATCCCAGCTACTCAGGAAGCTGAGGCAGGAGAATTGCTTGAACCTGGGAGATGGAGGCTGCAGTGGGCCGAGATTGCGCCATTGCACTCCAGCATGGGCAAGAGTGAGACTCAAGTCTCAAAAAACAATAAATAAAATAAAAATTCATATCTAAACAGAGGTGAAAACAGCACACTGAAGACAAATCACAGGAAAAATGTGAATCATGCTTGTTATAAAATAGTTAAGTAATCCAAAAACGCATATATATGTTGTGTGCCTAATACACGAATGGAAGCATGCCCTCTGGCTCACTCATGTTCTGACGGAATGAGCTTAGGTGCAGCTCAGTTTCAGAAAACCTCAATTTAGTCCAAAGTTTGTCAGTCTAAACAAACTCAGGAATCTACTACTGCCACACATCCAGGGTCCTGCATTTTAACTCTCAATTTCCCCAGCGTACACACTATTCTACTGTCTTACAACTGCCATTTTTTTTAATGCCCAAATTAATTAAAGTGTTGGCTTTTATAACCTAATTTATCCAGCAATAAAAGCACCTAGATGTATTTTGATGGCAAGAACCCCATCTTGTGGCAAAGTGTTTCACAGCTAAGTCTGGCTGTATAGTGTATTGCCATTCTCACTCTGGAGATAAATCTGCATTGAGAAGTTATCATTTTATCTTCTTTACCAGACAGAATTTCTAACCCAGCATTTATCTTGTGTCTGCGACGGCACCAAAGTATGCAGTAAATCTGTGGAGCACAGTAATTCTGGGGCTTTGTGAGTTATTTTCAAGTGAAAGCTGGTAGTCTTTGTGCAGCTTACTGCAGGAATATTTTAAGGGAAAAGCAAACACTGACTCTGGGTTAGCTTCTGAAATATTATCTGTTCATTTTAGGAAGGGTTCAGATATTGCACTTCTATAAGATGAACTCAACGAGAGCAATCAAGACAAAACCTCCCTAAATTCACATGAAATGACGCCATAATTAACACCATATATAATAAAGCTACCCCTCCCCCACAGCACACTTGTATTTCATAGCATTCATGTTATTCCCCTAAAAGGTGGTTCTTTTTTTTTTTTTTTTTGAGACATTCTTGCTCAGTCTCCCAGGCTGGAGTACAATGAAGCAGTCTGGGCTCACTGCAACCTCTGCCTCCGAGGTTCAAGTGATTCTCCTGCCTCAGTCTCCCGAATTGCTGGGATTACAGGCATCTGCCACTATACCTAACTGATTTTTCTATTTTTAGTAGAGACAGGGTTTCACCATGTTGGCCAGGCTGGTCTCAAACTCCTGACCTCATGAACCTCCCGCTTTGGCCTTCCAAAGTGCTGGGATTACAGGTGTGAGCCACTGCGCCGAGCCTAAGGTGGCTTTTAATCAATTTCTCTGTCATTCCTATTTTAAAAGACAATGGAACTATATTCTAAAACAGTCTCCCCATTTTTTCTTTGACTAGGAACATCCAGCATGGGCAACATGACAAAATCCTCTCTACGAATACAAAAAAATCAGCTGGACGTAGTAGTGCGTTCCCATAGTCCCAGCTACTTGGGAGGCAGAGCCCAGGAGATCAAGGCCGCAGTGAGCTAAGACAGTGTCACTGCACTCCATACTGGGCAACAGAGTAAGACTCTGCCTTAAAAAAAAAAAAAAAAAAAAAAAAAAAAAAAAAAAAAAAAAAAAAAAAAAAAAAGAAAAGAAAAGAAAAGAAAAGAAAAGAAAAGAAAAGAAAAGAAAAGAAGGAATGTCTTTCTCAGTGTCTTCTTCTACCATTCCCTTTTGGTTTTCCTAAAGAAATTTTGAAAGGCCTTATTGTTAACAAGCTAAAAAATGTAACAAAGCATTAGGCATGATGTCTGGCTTAAAAACATTAGTTACTTTTATTGCTTTTATTACTGTTATTAATGACAACTAAATACTGAAGACCCCAAAATAGCTTGTTCATCTTCCTCAACTGGCAAAGCCTTAAAAAAAAAATCCAGTTCAAATAAGCCAAATTATATTTTTATCAAAAGCAAAACTGAAACAATACTTTTCTCCCCTCAAAATGTTTTTAAAGGGTTAAAAAGGACAGTAGAGATCAATATTAAAAGAGGTTTTTTATTTGTTAATGTCACATAAGAAATTTACGCAAGTTACACTATCTTAAAAAACACAATGAATGCATTTTAATAGAGAAGCCCTTCCCTCCCTCCGCCTCCCTCTCCCCGCCCCATCATGAATTAAGAACCTAAGAGAAGAAGTAACCATAAAACCAAGTTTTGCGGAATCCATCGTCCAGAGTGCTTACATGGTGATTAGGTTAATATTGCCTTCTTACAAAATTTCTTTTCTATTTAAAAAAAATTGTAAGCTTGATTGCTTATTACAAAAAAATTCAGTACAAAAGTTCAATATATTGAAAAATGTTTTCCCCCTCCCTCACAGCACCATTGTATATAGCAGAGAATAATGAAGAGCAGATTGCTTGTCTAGATGCAGCAATCTTCAAATTATACCGAGACACACAGTGGTTTATTTACCCTCCCCTCCTCTTAAGAACTTTAAAAAAAGAAAAAAAACACGCATACAAAAAAAAGTCAAAAAATTTGAGGGACCCCTTCCAAACAGTACAGTTAAATTCAGTGTCAATAATTCACATCTTGCAACAAACTGTGTATGGACATGATTTCTCTTACAAAACTTTCAGAGTCAAAAAGGAAATTAAGGCCATCAGATTTGCAGCTTTAAAATTCACATAAAGGAAATATAAAAATATTCTGTGCTTCTGAGAAGGCTCTGCACTGTATAAAGGTTAAGGATTACCATACTTCTTAATTTTGAGGAAGACAGTTGATGAAAATTTTACATAATTGCACAGCTTCTATTGGATGCTCTTGGGGTTCCCTGATGAGGAAAACAAAGAAAAATTAATACTAAAGAAAGAAAATCACAATATTCTAAAATAAAATGAAAACTTTTAACTACAGGGATACTACAAAACCGTATTACCTAACTTCAAACGAGCCCTGTATTATCTCTCATCTTTTGTAACCTTTTTTTTCTCTTTTTTGTTTGTTTGTTTAAGACAGAGTCTCACTCTGTTGCCCAGGCTAGAGTGCAGTGGTGCGATCTTGGTTCACTACAACCTCCACCTCCTGGGTTCATGCGATTCCCATGCCTCAGCCTCCTCAGTAGCTGAGACTACAGGAGTGCATCACACCACACCCAGCTAATTTTTGTATTTTTAGTAGAGGCGGGGTTTCACCATGGTAGCCAGGGTGGTCTCGAACTCCTGGCCTCAAGTGATCCACCCGCCTTGTCCTCCCCAAAGTGCTGGGATTACAGGCATGAGCCACCGTGTTTGGCCTCTAACCTTCTTTTACGGACTTCTTTCTAGACTACCCCCAACAAATTCCAGAACAGTAATTGTCAACTCTGGCTACACATTCGGATCCTGAAAAGTTTAAAAAAAAATTCTGATCTAGGTCCCTTGATCAATCCAAATGAGAATTTCTCATTTTACTGGGAAATGATATCTATCTATATATAATTTTAACATAATTTTAATATGCAGCTCAATTTGAAAACCATTGTTCAGTAACTTCCTTTGATAACTTAGGAAACAGGAGATCGGTGGATCAGCTTTAACAGCCACATGGGAGAATAAGGCTTGCTAGATCCTGAACTTACACATCCCAAGCCATCTGTACTGGATTTATCCTCCAAGGTGAAGTCAACATGGTTCCTCTATCCATTTCTTTATCACCCATTAATTTTGTAAAACCTCACAATATGACTTGTGACTCACCACTGATTGAACTAAAACTGTTTTGAAGGTCACCAAAATACTTCTAATCAATTCAAAAGGCTACTGGATTCATCCTCAAGTATGAAGTTCAAATACCTGTTCTGCCCTTCCATCTTCCCTTTTATGAACCTTGGTATCATTATTTTCTGTGATAAACACCTCATCTTTATTTTTTTTTCCTTCTTTCACCCTCAGGTTTAGTCACTAAGCCTTAATAAATCTCCTCAGTGTCTCTAGAATCGCCCCTCTAGAGTTAGACGCTCTGATTCAGCTTGGCTAGAGTTATTTTATTTGTTTTATTTTGAGATGGACTTTTGCTCCTGCTGCCCAGGATGGAGTACAATGGTGCGATCTCAGCTCACCACAACCTCCGCCTCCCCGGTTCAAGTGATTCTCCTGCCTCAGCCTCCTGAATAGCTGGGATTACAGGCATGTACCACCATGCACAGTTAATTTTGTATTTTTAATAGAGACGGGGTTTCTCCATGTTGGTCAGGCTGGTCTCAAACTCCTGACCTCAGGGGATCTGCCTACGTCGGCCTCCCAAAGTGCTGGGATTACAGGCGTGAGCTGCCGCGCCCCGCAGCCAGTGATATTTTAAAATGCAGTCTTAATTTCTCCTTTGTTCCAAATTTACAGATATATGCCTAAGCATTCCACACTATGCCAGTTTAATTCCAATCTTTCAACTTCATTTATCTCTCACATAAACCCTACAAAATAACTGGATGAATGGACTTTGGTGCATTAAGTCTTGATGCATCCTCTGTACTGAGCTAAAGATCACTATGAATTCTTTGTCATTCCTCCCCACAAGTGGAGACTATTTAACCTCCACCTTGAATCTGGGCTGGCCTCGTGACTTTGACTAAGAGAATGCTATAGAAGGGACAAGGGGCCCAATCTTTAAGAAAGATTGGTACTTTCCACTTACTCTGTTAGACAATTGCCATGTTGTAAAGAAGCTTTGACTAAACTCTTAAATCATAGAAATCCATACAGAAAGAGACCTAAAGGATAATCCAGACCAGACCAACCTCTGAGCTGAGCTGAACGCAGCCTGCATGATTGAGTTCAGTCTGCAGCACATGGGACAGAAACAGTGCCCAGCTTAGCCCAGTCAGACCACAGAATTATGGGAAAGAAATTGCTGTTTTAGGCCGGGCGCGGTGGCTCAAGCCTGTAATCCCAGCACTTTGGGAGGCCGAGGCGGGTGGATCACGAGGTCAAGAGATGGAGACCATCCTGGTCAACATGGTGAAACCCCGTCTCTACTAAAAATACAAAAAATTAGCTGGGCATGGTGGCACGTGCCTGTAATCCCAGCTACTCAGGAGGCTGAGGCAGGAGAATTTGCCTGAACCCAGGAGACGGAGGTTGCGGTGAGCCGAGATTGCGCCATTGCACTCCAGCCTGGGTAACAAGAGCGAGACTCCGTCTCAAAAAAAAAAAAAAAAGAAATTGCTGTTTTAAGCTTTTATGCTTTGGGGTGGTCTGTTGGTGAAGAAACAGATGACTGGAACATCCTCAGAACACCATCATCTGCCTTCTCTCCAATACCTAAATAATTATCCATCCTTCAAATTAGTGGACAAGCATCATCTCCCAGAGTTCTTCTCAACTACTCTGCTGGCCTGGAGCACTTCCTCTAGTGTCTGACATGCTGTAACTCATGCTGAGCCACTTGTCTTGCGCCTTGAGTTATCTCTTACATAATTATTTCACTTCTAAGTAATTACAATGTTTCCCATTTAAGCACGGAAAATGGAACTTGTGCTTGTTTCTTGTAAGTTAAGTGTAGCGTATGTGTTTTAAAATATTCCTCCAAAATAAACGTTTGAGAAGGCATCGAGGAAAAAATTCATGCTACTTCATGCAACCCACCTCAAGTGGTTCTCAACCCTGGGGGCTAAATACATGAGAGAGTGTTTATTTAGACCAGGACTAGGGCTAAATGAAGGAAAGCAGACTTAAGATCATAAATCTGGAGCCATGGAGACAAAGTCTTATCAGGATAAGGGTAGAGACTTTGATAAATGATTAGACTCAAACAGCTTGAGAATATAAACTAAAGGCTCATTAGTTATTAATAATTCCAACTTAATTATAACTAAAACCAAATTTGGATTGTTTATTTCAAGGGCTCTCAAAAGCCCAACCATCAGCTAAAAGCTATCTTGCAATTAGATAATGATTAGAAACTTAATATAGCAAGACTTTTGTTTCACTTTGAAGTTGAATACTACTTTTGTTTTTTAAAAGTTTATACGCAGGTGCTTGCTCTAATTTAGTGATCTAAACTTTTAGTCACAGAATCCTACAGAGTAAATAAGTTCTGGGGCATAAAATCCAATCCGTAGACATGTTTCACTGTAACACATAACATACATTAGAAAACAAAAGACAAAACTAAAATCTGGTAAAATGAGAAAAATGTATCAACATATTCTTCCAGTACCCTAAAGTATCACACCTTGAATACCCCTTTGGGGTATACAAACCCCATTTGTTAAATCACTGCTCTGGTTCATCAAGCGATAGGGGAAAACCCAACCACACTCTTAGTCTTCATGTACTTCTGTTAATAAAATTTAAAATAAATATATTAAATTAATAAAGTAATACCTGCTGGTGGAAAAGTTCTTCCTCAACAACCACTCCAGCTGCCTCTTCCTCCTCCTCCTCTTCTTCAGGTATGGTTGTTTTAAAGACTGTACTTCTTTGAGCAACCTCCTAAAAACAATAGTAGTTTACTTTTAAATTAAAAAACACTTAAAATCACCAAGTGCATGGGAGAGGGACCTTTTCACTGCTTAAGAGACAGCTTTTCTGCTTATTATTACTACTATTATTCTTTTTTTTTTTTTTTGGAGACAGAGTCTTGCTCTGTTGCCCAGGCTGGAGTACAGTGGAGTGATCTCGACTCACTGCAACCTTCACTTCCCAGGTTCAAATGATTCCTGTGGCTCAGCCACCCCAGTAGCAGGGATTACAGGCATGCGCCAACACGTGTGGCTATTTTTTTTTCTATTTTTAGTAGAGATGGGGTTTTGCCACATTGGCCAGGCTGGTCTTGAATGCCTGGCCTCAAGTGATCCACCCACCTCATCCTCCCAAAGTGCTGGGATTACAGACATGAGCCTCTGCACCCAGCCTCTGTTTATTATTTTTAAAAGGGTGGGGCGGGGGCAGCAGTATATCAGTAACTATTTTGTTATTGAACTGAAATTTCTGCATAATTAGTAGCAGTTCTTGTACTTTCTATATTCCCTGCAGGGGAGAGGAAGTGCTATCCAATTTGAAATACCTGCTGAGAAGTTCCCACTGCTTTTTATCCTATTCTGTCATTAAGAATTCTGCAAATTATTTGGCATACTAAATTCTTTATAAAACTCAACATGAATTCAGCTTGAAGATCTTAGCTCCTGGCAAGGAGAAGGTGTTAAATAAATGCTGAATAAAATAAAGCTGGAAGCCAACTGTGATCTCAGGGACCATCGGCAACAGGACCACCTGAGTGAGAAGAAAGGACAAGCTCCTTTCATTGCCTTTCAGAAACTGACACCTCTTGAACGAAACAAAATCAAGACAGATGAACACGATACACTATTTACCAATAACATACTAGTGAGGTTCCAATGTACTCTGTACAGAAATAAGTCTCCTATCATTCGCTAAAGGTATGACAGAAAACAACTATTTCCATTTACTACTAAAAAGCTTAAATACAGATTACTTTCCTGTGGAAAATGCTGACATGGCACAAATGCAGCAGTGTTTTTGCTTAAGCACAAAGCTAACCTGATGATCTGGCAGCAAGCAAATGAGGGTGTCTGTCCTCGAGAGTGCTGCAGAGCATATAATTTTATTCTGTACCCTGTCCTAAGGTCACTCAAGAAAGAGAATGCTACAGGGGAAGACACTAATATTACTTCAGTAAAAGCTTATCTAATGTATACCAGCTAGTTTACAAAGGCAGAGAAAGAAAACCAAAGCCCAGTGTCACAGAAATGAGACTTCCATTTGAAATATGCTCAAGAATGTGTTTTGTAAATAAAAGGTGGTAGAACAGTATTTTGTGGGATTTTTTATTACTGTTTCTAGACCAAGGGAGATGGACCATTCTGAGTCTCTCAATTAGCCAGTAACTTCAATGCTGTGAAATTGGTCTATCTTTACAAACAGAAATAGCCATTTCACAAACATCAGTGTTTTAACCAAATTAGTAATAATTTAAAAATGTGATTCCTTAGATCAACCATCATTAAAAATATCAACTAGGAGACAGCAGCATATAAAGCAAAAAATAAATTCTTAAACAACTTTGAGAGTACCCAGCTTTTCTCAACTCATCTTCAAATAAGGAAAGAGTCAAACAAAATATTCCATAACAAAATTACCACATTCCAGCTTCTAGAAGTTTGTGGCAGGGTATGTATCCCATGTGCAAACGCTGGCTCTTAAGGCTCATGATGTGACTTAAGATATTAGCCTCAATGAGAACCTAGGAAAACAGCAACTTGCCCATCTTCATTATTATGAATTACCTTAATATATTTACTTTAAATGTAACCCTACTGTTAGGCACTTTTCATTTGAAAACATGTAAAAATCAATTAATCTAATACAGAAAGCCTGTATGAAAAATAAGTGAGCTAATGTCTAAAAATCTAGGTAGAAAAATAACAAACAATAATTTAGAACCAAAAAGTTGTTGGGAGGCTTAGATCCAGGAAACTGTTATTAGTCAAGATGCTGCTAAATGAATGTTTCCCCCTAGTGTCCTGAAAGGTCCACATAAATGATCTTACATGACAAGCTTTACTCTGTCTATAAAATGTAATATTGGTCTGCCCCTGCTCAGAGCCTTGGCCACATGAAGGCCACTGATCTGTGCAGTCGTGCCCAGAGCCAGCTGCACCTGCTGATGCTGCTCATCCATTCACAGCTCTGCGCTCAGTCGTATAATGTTGGAAGCCTGACATTGGCCATAGCAGGAGTATTTATACCACAGAAATTGGCAAATGCCACAAAGCAGGGTGATTTTATATGGACAAGAGATGATTGTTTATATTTTATATATTATAACTCTACGTATATAAGTAACCATTTGCATATACAAAAGTTTCCATTATAACTATATTCTGAAAAGTTTGGAAGTACTGCTTTATTTTTTCTTTCTCTCATAGGAAAATATCTTTTTTTTTTTTTTTCGCCATGGTGACATTTGCTGTTCTTAACCACCCAGTGCCCCTTCCCTCCTAAGAGCCCCCAGGTTTTCCTGGGTACCCGCCCTCCATGAAGCACAGGAGCCCACCACGATGTGGCTGCTAAGTCCACACTCTTGACTCCAGAAACTGGTTTAGAGATGGGCCCTGATCTAGTGAGAGTGAAGCCTAGATGGGGCCTCACAGGGAATGAAGTTTAGCTTACCTCTGTAATTCAAACACAGAATATTAGATTATTTGATGGGCTGGACTGTCCTTATTTTTTAGGACAGAGTTTCACTCTTGTTGCCCAGGCTGGAGTGCAATAGTGTGATCTTGGCTCACAGCAACCTCCACTTCCCGGGTTCAAGTGATTCTCCTACCTCAGCCTCCCTAGTAGCTGGGATTACAGGCATGCACCACCACGCCCAGCTAATTTTTTGCATTTTTAGTAGAGACAGGTTTATCCATGTTGGTCAGGCTGGTCTCGAACTCCCGACCTCAGGTGATCCGCCCACTCCAGCCTCCCAAAGTGCTAGGATTACAGGTGCAAGCCACCATGCCCTGCAGACTGTCTATTCTTTTAACAGACTTCTACTGCCTTCTGCTTGGTAGGCTGTTCTGAGAGAGTTCCATAAGAAATGAGGAGGAAAAACAGTAATGAATACAGGCCTTATTTCATTAGACAGTTACTTTTGGCATGTATTCATTTAATTCTGTTAAGACCATGTTTATTTGTCAGTAGTATCAGATCACATTAGCAAAAAAATCTATAAACTCCACCATGAAGACCACTTTTTTGAAAGATCACCTTCCTACAAAAGGCAAAGAGAAAAGACGTACCTCTGGGAGCAGCTGGCAGCTATCCTGTGTCCCCGAAGGAGGCAACCAGAAGAGAGACAACAGACAGATCCCCGGGGACATGCTATGAGCCATTGGATCAGGTTCACTACTTAAATTTTTTATTATGTGAGCCCAAAAAAATGTCCATTATTTATAGCCAGTTTAATTGTATTTTCTGACATTTCTAATGCCCCTAGCAAGAAGAAAAAATAGATTAAAAAAACAAAGCTGACTAAGCCAGTTACCTACAATCTTTTTTTTTTTTTTTTTTGGGGACGGAGTTTCGCTCTCGTTACCCAGGCTGTAGTGCAATGGCGCGATCTCGGCTCACCGCAACCTCCGCCTCCTGGGTTCAGGCAATTCTCCTGCCTCAGCCTCCTGAGTAGCTGGGATTACAGGCACGCGCCACCATGCCCAGCTAATGTTTTGTATTTTTAGTAGAGACGGGGTTTCACTGTGTTGACCAGGATGGTCTCGATCTCTTGACCTCGTGATCCACCCGCCTCGGCCTCCCAAAGTGCTGGGATTACAGGCTTGAGCCACCACGCCCGGCCAAGCCAGTTACCTACAATCTTACTACAAAGTGATCTTTATGGCAGGTATGGTTTATAGATTGTTGCTTATCTGGTCCCTACTACAAATATGGTCTTACCAAATTAAATGAATAAATGCCAAAAGTAACTGTCTAATGAAATATGAACTATATTCATAACACTTTCTCTCCTCATTTCTGACAGAACTCATTTAAAACAGAGCCTGGCAAGCAGAAGGTAGAAGTTTGTTAAAAGAATGGATCAACTAACCAATCAAATAATAAATCTGATATTCAATTCTTGAGTTATGAAGTGGAGCTAAGCTTCAGTTAGCTTTACTAATACGTCATCAGTAATACTAGTAACACTGTCTCAACATGCATCCGATGTCATAATATCTGCTACTTTGTTCATGTCACTGTATCTATTGTGTGGACATTTAAACCTATTGCTGCAGTCCAAATAGCCTCCTATAACATTGTTTCTAACTTGGAACACACTTGCACACAGAAAAAGAAAGAGACATTTCTTTTTCAGACATTTCCAATTTCAAATAGCAGGGTGGGCACGGAACTAATAGTAGGAAGCTTAAGGGTTGCAGTTAATTCCAGCACCAGGTGGCAGCACCTACAGCAGCTGGACAGGATTCCGAAGTGCTGAAGGCAAGAAGTGAGCAAGGGCTTCAGCACAGAAAAGCCGGCATTCCGAAGCCTGTGCATTATTGAAGGTACTTGTAAATACCCGCTACCCTGAGAAACTAGAAGGTGTTTGGAGGTAAATTCCCCAGATGCACCCAAAAATCTCACACAACTTTCAGAGGTCGACAGTGACAGAAAATCAAGTGCCATTTCATTTTCAGTCTCAGTCTGAAATCAAAGGCACTCATTATTCAGCAATCAATTCCTTAGGGAAAGCATTTTAAACAACAGATGTTTACAGTGAGGGATGGAGGGGAAGATGGTCAGAAACAGAACTTTTTATGCAGGCACCTCAGACTCCTATAACGAATGCTGCTATTGTTTGATTTCTCTGAACGTTAAGTCACGGTCCATGTGTCATGTGTGATTTAAAAAAAAAAAAAAAAAAACACGCATCCAGTAAATGTTTCCTGAATTCCTGTTATGTGCCAGGCATGATGCCAGGATCTACCAGAACAGGGGCTTGCCCTCAGTGTGCTTCCTCTAGTGAGTGAGAACAACCTGACAGGCAGGTTAGAGACCTGCCCCTGGCACTACGGGAGCCAATAAGGAACCCCTAAAGGGATGCTGTGATTTGACCCTCTGATCACTCCATCTTTTGCAGACACTTTCCTCCTCTGTCCTTCCTGACACAACACACCATTTTCCCCTGACTTCACTGGCTGCATCTTCCACCTTCTTTGCTCTTATTCCTAATGTCAGTATTTTTTAGGGTTCGATTCTGGACCCTCTTCTGACAAACATTACTCAGCGAGTCCTGTAAATTACTTACTTACTTACTTCATTTATTTAAAACAGAGTCTCACTCTGTCGCCCAGGCTGGAATGCAGTGATGCAATCTCGGCTCACTGCAACCTGAGCCTCTAGGATTCAAGCCATTCTCCTGCCTCAGCCTTCTGAGTAGCTGGGAATACAGGTACATGCCACCATGCCTGGCCAATTTTTCTGTTTTTAGTAGAGACAGGGTTTCACCATGTTGGTCAGGCTTGTCTCTAACTCCAGCCCTCAGTCTCCCAAAGTGCTGCGATTATGGGCATCAGCGACCACGCCCAGCCAGTCCTGTAACTTTAAATATCACCTAGGTGATAAGTACTCCCAAATATCTCTAGCCTGGGCACGGTTCAAATAAATATTCCAGTAGGCTTCTAGAAATCTCTACTTGGATATCTAACTGGCATTGCAAACTTAATATGGCAAGAAAAAGTCTCTTGATTACTTTTCCAACACTTCTCTCCACAAAGCCTGTTGTTCCTCCTGCAATTTCCTCAGTAAATGGCACCAGGACCATCACGCTACCCAAACTAGAAGTCAACTTAATTCCCATCTCTCATCCCTCACATTTCACCTGATTAGTACTTGCTATCAGATCTACTTCTAAAACATCTCTTCCATTGGTTTTCTTCTCTTCTACCCAAAGAACCACCCCCGTCTAAGTTACTCTCCTCAGTTGCTTTATCTCTGCCTGGTTTTGACCCCCTATAATCCATACGGCAGCATGATTTCTTTCTTCACTCTGTTCCTCTTAGCGTGTCACACTCCCTAAAATCCCTCCAGTAGCCTCCCATTTGTGCTCACAATATGATCTATACTACTCCCCAGAACCTTTGCAATCTCACCCTGCTAACCGAGTCTCCCTCTCCCTTTCTCAGTGTTTGTTAGCCACAGTGGCCTCCTTTCCTTCAAAACACAGAGGGATTGCCTGCCTTAGGACCTTTGTACTTGCTGTCTCCTCTAACTGGGAATACTTTTTCTGTCCTCTCAATGGCTGGCTCTTTCTCACCTTTCAGGTTAATACTCAGGAGTCACCTTGTCAAGGCCAACTTCCCTGACCACCCCCACCCTATCCTCTCCTTGGTAACTCTTTATGATACCACAGGGGTTTTTTTCATTGTTTTGTTTTTGAGATGGAGTTTTGCTCTTGTTGCCAAGGCTAAAGGGCATGATCTTGGCTCACTCCAACCTCAGCCTCCTGAGTTCAAGTGATTCTTTTGCCTCAGCCTCCCAAGTAGCTGGGATGTACCCCCACGCCTGGCTAATTTTTGTATTTTTAGTAGAGACGAGGATTCACCATGTTGGCCAGGCTGGTCTCGAAATCCTAACTTCAGGTGATCTACCCACCTTGGCCTCCCAAAGTGCTGAGATTACAGGCGTGAGCCACTGCACCAGGCCTGATATCACAGTTTATCTCTTAGTTACATTTATCAGAAAGCCACTTTATCTTATTCCCTGGCTTGCTTACTCTCCTTAGAATATGGGCGCTGTGACGCCAGAACCCATGTGTGGCTTTTTTACTGCTTATTCCTAACACAAAGCAGCTGGCACACAACAGATGCTCAGGATTTTCTACATAAACGAATAACCCCGAACTTGTAAATGTGGCTAGCTTCCCTACCAGGTTTGCCAGCCTAACATTCCTCCTTATATCTCCTTTCAGCACCACTCAGACTGAAATGCATATCCAGTCATGTTGTAAGGTACAAAACAGTGGAGGCTGCCAGCCTGGAAGCTGGGTGAAATGGTCAGAACCAGCAAGCATGTCAGAACAAGGAATAACCAATGGCTTCCTTGCAAGCTAACTTACAGTTCTCATGGTAGACAAAGAATAGAAAAGCAGTATTACAACTAAAAGGAAAACGAGAAGTACAAACCATTTTGAACTCCCAACACAAGCTCATGTTTGTGGCAGTTGCAACAAAGAAGGAACTCAAATTCTAAACAGAGGCTCAGTGATGTTTTCTACAGCACCTAGATAAGGTGATTCATGAGGGAAAGACAAGGAGGGAGCCATGCTTTGCTACCTTCAAAGAACACTTTAGCTACTTTATTAGGAAGTAGTATATCTAAGACTGGTATTGGTGGGAACATATGCAGTGTCTTTACATGGCAGTGGGGAGGTAAGGTACTTTGACAAGAATTCTAAGACTGACACACTGAAAACATATACTATAAGCAGATGTAAAGTCCACAATCTTTAAACTCAGTTTCATGAACATTCTGAGAGCTAATAATGAGGTCAATAATGTAAGAATTTACTAGATAAATGTACTATGCCAGATACTATTCCAAACATTTCCCAAGGATTGTCTCATTCTTTGATTATCTCACTGATACTGTTTCATTAATATCCTTTTTTTTTTTGAGACTGAGTCTCACTCTGTTGCCAGGCTGGATTACAGTGGAGTGATCTCGGCTCACTGCCACCTCAGCTCACTGCAACCTCCATCTCTCAGGTTCCAGTGATTCTCCTGCCTCAGCCTCCCAAGTAGCTGGGACTACAGGCATGTGTCACTACGCGTGGCTAATTTTTGTATTTTTAGGAGAGACGGGGTTTCACCATGTTGGTCAGGTTGGTCTCTATCTCTTAACTTCATGATCCACCTGCCTCGGCCTCCCAAAGTACTGGGATTACAGGCGTGACCCACCACGTCCAGCCCATTTTTAAACGAGAAATCTAACAGAGGTGAAATAACTTGCCCAAAATTACAAAGCTAGTGTGCAGTGAAAACAGAAACTGGACACAATCTGTACTGAAGCCTGTGTTAATAACCAGTACTCTATAATACACTCCTATTTATTCCTAAAATTTAAAAAAAAGCTTCAGTTCAATTTTTAGCAGTTTTGGTCTGTTTAAGCAATCAGTTATTGCACATTTCAATCTGATCTTGATTATACTTGCAACTTTCAAGTGAAATTAACATTGTGGTGGTGGGCCTGATAAACTAGCCATACCTCTCCCTGAGAATTTTTCAATATAACCTTCACATCTTCACCAGTGCCCCAGGAGTTCTGGTTCTTCCAGATGAGGTCAGTGGGGGGGCTGGCTGTGACACCAGCGTTTGCAGCCCAAATCTGTAAAAAAACAAAGGACATCAGTGCACCCAGAACCCAGCTGTCCCACATGCCAATAACAGCAATACGATGAGACTCAAACACTTGATTCTAAAAGTCTAAGAAATATGCCCAGCTACAGAGTTCTATACATAGCTGTGTGGCCAGAAGAACTCACAGAGCTTCTCATGGCACCAGCTTCCCCATCTGATAAGTGAAGATGATGATACACAAAGGCCTGAAGTGAAACTGCCTACACTCACATACTAGTTCCTTTACACGCCAGCTGACCCTGAGCAAGTTACCTTCCGTCATCCATAAAACAGTATAGAAATGACACCTTTAACAGGTGGGATTGTTGAAAAGAGCAAGTGATTACCCACATACAGTGGCTGCCTAACTCAGTGAATGGTAGCCTCAGCATTCCATTATTCTACAGGTTTTATGGGCCATCCTTCCATGTTAGAGCCTTCTGTGACTCCCCTCTAATAATGTCCTCCAGTTGCCTACAGATAGAACTAAAGAGACCTTCTGCAGCAGACAGCCTATCTAGAATAATCTTATGGAAACTGGTATGTCTCCAAACAGAGAAAGGGTCACAATACCCTAGAGTATCTGAGGCTGCATTCCAAAAAACAATGCTTGAAATGGATAAATCACACACTGTTCAAGGGAAAATATAATTGCTATTGAAATAGGCCAAACAAAGAAATAATTATATTTTCCTTTTCATGGGCAAGAAAATTCTTTTTATGTATCTACTGGCAAAAGACAATGAGCAGAGTGAAGAAAACTTGGCAGTCAGAAAGCCTAGGTTTGAATTCTGGACAAATCACTACACCTCCAGGAACCTCAATGCCTTTAGCTACAGGGATACTACTAGCCCTGATTTTTTTAGAAAGGTCATTTAAAATCAAATAGAAAGAGAAAAGTTTGTAATCCATAAATTGTTATACAAATAAAAGATTTTATGGCTAGGCACGGTGGCTCACGCATGTAATCCCAGCACTCTGGTGGCCAAGATGGGCAGATTATCCGAGGTCAAGAGTTTGTTCAAGACCAGCCTGACCAACATGGGGAAGCCGTCTCTACTAAAAATACAAAATTAGCCAGGCATGGTGGCACATGCCTGTAATCCCAGCTACTCAGGAGGCTGAGGCAGGAGAATCACTTGAACCTGGGAGGCAGAGGTTGCA